CTCGCAGCCGCCCCGGGCGTGAGCTTGGAGTCATGAAGTGATGCCTAGAGCTGAATCTCACGAAAAAGCAGGTGAAAGCAGGGAAGTTCCTGTCAGGGTGCGCCTCAGGTGAAAGGGTTCCGCTCCTCTGGGTACTCTTCATAGGCAAAATACATCTGGGATGGTAAAATCACACCCAGTAAGTTTATGCGATGTATAGAAACAGCTAGAATTTTACAATGTCACTAAAGCACAGAGGTATGGATGCACGTTAACAGCGTCTCCCTCAGGGTCAAGGTCGGTGTGGAAGCACGTGCGAATGCCAGTTACAGTAAGGCTTTAGCATTAGATTGCTTCGTGAGGGGCGGGGGGAGAAAGGTATTTTCACATAAGCTTTAATTTGTGTTAAAAGCAGTGAAATGTGAGCAATTGTAAGAAAGGCTTGGAGCTGTGTCCTGTGAGCTCAGCTGCTTTGCAGTGTGGAGTGGAAGGAAGCTGATGTGGATGTGCCTTCCAGAGCTGTGGTCAGGCGAGCATGCTGTCTGTCTGCAGCTCTGTAGAGGCTGGGCATCCGCAACTGCACAGGTCTGATTTCCCTGTATCCCAACTCAGGGTCTTCTCCTTGTATAAAAACTACTCAGTTCTAAAATACTTCAAAAAAGGTACTGCTTTCAGCTAGATCCTGCCTCTAAAACATAAAGTGTCTTTTCTGTTTCAGGAAAGTTTTATATTTCAGGAAAAGTTTTTCTGTTCTCTTCAAGATTTTCTTTCTAAGTTGCAGTAATTAGTGAAAACTACTTTAAAGCCATCATATCCCCCAAAATAAAGAATTAAAAATTTTATATAATGTGATTTTTTGGATTCATGTCCCTTGAAATTAGGGCTTTAAGAGAAGCATCAAATGGGAGTTTTATGAGAATCATTTGGAGTTAGTGCAACATTTCCAGTTACTTTTCCCCTCTAAAATTTTTAATTAATTCTGACCTGTAGTGCAGAATTTAATTAATCTACTTTTGCTATATTAATGTGACTACCATAAATTCAAAACTCTGATTGGTTTATAGGTGCTCTTCCAGTAGTACAGCTCTTGGGAAGACTGTGGAAAATTCAGAAGGTATGATGTCTTCATAACTAGTTTCTTGTGTGTGTTGTTTTAATTTCCAAACATATAGTGTGTCAGGAGATAAAGATGACGTGAATGCCCTCTTCCATCTTCTTGGATTTTCTTTCCTCTTGTTGTCATTGTGCAGAGATTTCCTGGCGTAACTTGATTACCCTCACCACCAACCAGCTCTGTGCTCTGAGAGCGTGAACTGAGTTGTTCCATGAGCTGTCCAGTTGCTCTTTGAAATGGAATAAACTGTGAAATAAAGATAAGGAGTTTTCCACCTTAATCCTGACGGTTTCCTTCACGTTCTTGCTTTTTCTCTGTACTCCTTACCATATTTCTGGTATTAGTTTTGTGATAAAAGTAATCTGGGGTGCTTGGAGCTGTGCTGCATACAGGAACAAGCTCCTGCCAGTCAGCAACAGCTCATGGAAGCATCAACACAGAGGCAGTGGAAAAAGTGTGTCTGCACACCCTGGCTCTGGGGGTTGTAATTGGGAGGTCCTACATGCTCCTCTGTGAATGAATTCGCTAAGATGCTTTACTGACAACCTCTAGCTGCTTCTTTTGGTATTGTCCTTTTTCGTTCTTCCTCTCTGGGAAAGCTGAGCAGGTTGATCTGTGGGGTGGAAGGAACTGAGCAGTTGGTGTCAGGCTATTGGAGCAGGAACTTGAGAGGGCATTTTGCTGTGGTAGTCGGGCAGGCTGACCTGGAGAAGCCAAATGGGCAGGGACAGCAAACTTCAAACTAAGAGTAAGAAAGCAAGGGACCAGGAAAGGTTGGGGCTTAAGCTAGAAGGTGGGGTAAGGATGGCTGAAGAAGCTTGAATGAGTAAATGGGTACAATCTCTTTGACGTTTGTTTGCCATAGGGCTCTGATCCTGTCTTGACACAAGGCACTTAAGCTCATCGCCTGCCTTTTCTGTTACCGTTGTAATAAATTGCGACCTACATTAGACTGTGATTTTAAAATCTTTGCTTTAGTACTTTCAGCTGGATTAGCTTAATTCATCAGTTTTCATGAGGTCAAGGTTTTCTTTGGACATCTGTTGGTTCCTAATAACAATTTTGATATTGTTTCTCATAGTTACTCAAGAAGAAATTGTGCTCCCACGAAAGAAAACCTGGTGAGTGTTTACTGCTGGAATATCTCTGTCAACCTGGAAGAAAGTTAGGTACATGTAATCTGTCCACCAGAGCTGAAAAAGAAAATTCAAGATGCTGTATTCCTGGATTTAATGTCCCACTAGTGGCTTTCCTGTTGATTTGGAGCTCTGGAAACATTCTTGACTCTTACTCTGTTCAGAGTATGTACGCTCTGTTCCTGACCTTTCTTTTATAAACAGTTAAAAGGACTGTATTTTTAAGTGTAGTTCCATTTCTTTGTGAAAGATCACATTTGCTAGAAATCTGTAAAATCAAGTTCATTTGGCTGTCTGTGTGTAGGTGTGTTTCTTCCTGTTTAGAAATTAGGCAGCTGAACAAAAGCTATTTTATTGGAAGCACTTAAGATGAAATTGCATGATGGTACAGCAAAAACTTGAGTTTATCACCAAACGGTGTCTACATGTAAACCTAAAATAAGACTACCTTCACCTAAACCCTTGCAGTGGCCTTTCCTTGTTTGCTTGAAACACAGCCAAAGTCTTAAGGATCCACAGGCACAGGAGTCCTGAGAAATCTAGTTTTGTTTTGGTTTGTTTTTTTCTCAGGACTTGTCTTGGAGAGGGACTTGTGTATCCACCCTTCAGAGGTGGGGTAGTCTTAAGGGGCTCTGAGAGGAGCATTCCAGGGAATTCTTTCTGTATCCCTTCCCTATGTTCTTTGATAGCATATAATAAGAGCAGGAGTGGCAGTAGGAATACACATGTTTTTCTGGTTTTCCTCAAAGTTTTTTCTTTTTCCTGTGGTTGTTCCAGAACTGAGATTGTTTTTGCAGTCGAATTTTACTTCCCTTTGCAAAAAGTGGTATTTTCTAAGTGCAGCAAGCCCATTATTTCCTAGAACTGAAAATCCTTACGGGCTAGGATAATCCTGTGATTGTTCTGCATACAATGTAATGCATAACATTCAGAGTCTGCAACCAAGTGTTAATCAAAGCTCCTTTATGTTTAGGGATAAGCTAGCGGTCCTTCAGACATTGGCTTCTACTGTGAACAGGGTAAGTAGTTCTGTTGACCATGGAAATAGGTTGAGTTGTTCATCTTATGCATTAACTTTGTATTCTGAAGGCTCTTACTTCTACTTTGGCCCTAAATGAAAGATTGGACTTTAACATTCGTTTTTTATGGGGTTTTCACTTTTGCTCCATGCATTTTGCTGTGTTCTTAAAGCCTCATTCTACCTCTAAGAGAGAGCTGCAACTACTGGCAAAAGCTGTAATATTTTGATAAGGCTTTTGCTCACATCAGGAGCAAGTTCTTTTACCAGTTCAGCTTCCCAATCCAGACTGCGTCTTCCCAACCTCAGTCCAGAAAGTAAACCTTGCAAAGAGCAATGGGTGTCTACTCTAGGCAACAACTGTAAATGCTGTGATGCCATTCTTTAGTCCTGTCTGTCCTGAGTTCTGGAAATTTAATCTGATCCTGCAAGTACCCTCAGCGCCCCTGAGGCTGTTACAGTTGGGGTCCTGTTTGCTTTGCGGGGCACTCATGTTATAGTAAGGACCCTCTTCTTGTTACTGTGTTAGCCTGCATGTGTGTGTATAATGGCAAAGCTTTTTTAACCATTTCCAAATAGGCTAAACCTTTTGACCAAGAGGAGCTTTTGTAAAATGGGCATCAGGTGTTGGTTATGACGAGACTGTTGTGTCTTAAATTCCATCAGGCAGTGTGACATGCATACAGCATGCCTGTATGTATAACTATAAATGTCTCAGTCCTGGATTCTCCTTTCTACAGGATCCTACTGCTGCTCATTATATGTTCCAGGATGACCCTTTCCTTATGCCAAGAAATGCAGCCACTTCTGTAAGTATTTCCCTTCAAATCCTTGATAGCTTTTCCCCTTTCCCCCCTTCATCTAGACTATGAAAACTTTCTAATTGGAGCCTAGTTTCAAATACAGAATAAAATGTAAGTATCAAGCTTCTTTCAGAATTTTCTCCTCTGTGTATTTAGGAATGCATGACTGTAGCATTTCTCTGGACAATCCATTCTGCACACACAAAGTTATCTCTTCTTCCCACCGCTTTAGGGACCTTCCAGCTGACACAGCTCTGTTAACATTCCTGCAAGTTAGTGACTTACCTGCTGAGTTGTTCTGTTTCTCCATGTTCTTAGTCTGTTAAATAACACCCAACACCTTTAGGTGAGGCATTCAGCCTGTTAAAACCATGTTTGTATACCTTGGATATAGCCTGTGAATATACAGTATTACAAGTGTTGAAATTTTGTGCTTACAGTTTAGTTAAATTTGAATTAAATATATGAACTAAAATGTACAAGGTCACTTGTGTGTGTGTTACTACATAGACTACGTGTTGCCAGTTGTCCTGGCCAAGCCCCAGGAATTTTAGTTTTATCACAGAGCAGCTATTTGGTAACTTAGGCTTATGGAAACAGTAGTATTGAGATGATGATAGACAAGAAGAAGGAAAGGAGTCTTCCCCTGGTGTTATCTCTGCATAAGATTAAAGAGCATAAAGCTGAGGAGGGAGAAAGCAGAACTGGAAATGAGGGCAAGAAGGAGCTGCTCTGTGTGATGTTTATTAGAGCGTAGCAAGAGGAGACTGGGAGCTGAGATGTCACGGCAGATCAGTGATAACGGTTATGAGAAAACTTCAGCTCTTCTGCGTACCAGAAGTGAAGCCATTGAGAAGGCTGAAAGCAGCTGTCAGATGTGAAGGGTTTTAAAGGAAGCAGCAAAGGTGGGTCTGACTCTAGAACTTGAGGAAAAGAGGTGAATGGGAATCAGGTGATGTCTTGGAAATGACAGTCAGGGAGAGAAACGTCTGAGTGCCATAACTCTAAAAAGAGATGCTTTTGAGCTTGAGGTAGTATTGCAGCATTTGAGATATCTGGTACAGAACTTTATCCCTTGACTAAGTAACATAAAAGTAAATTACAGTCTCATTTAAAGAATAAGCATTTTTATATTGACATAAATACCAGAACGTTTATCTGGAATGTTGTCTTGTGCCTATGTTTTTAGTAAGAGTTTAAAAGGAAGCATGAGTTTAATTTGATTTCATCAGAACGCTTAGTGTTATGGAAAATGTTTTTCTCACTCAACCTTTTAATTGCGTGTTTATCTTGTTCTCTCTCATTCCCATGCAGCGTCTGTTTTCATTGTCGAAGGAGTCTGGGAGAAATGCTGCAAAGTTTATTATTAAGCAATTTCCTCAATATTTTGACAAGACTTTTGCAGAGCCCAACATACCAGTAAGCTTTTTGCTTTTCATTTTCATTGTGTTTGTGCTTTGTCAGGTAGTGAATTCAACTGTCAACCTGGTCCAAAATTAACATAAAAGGATAATTCTGTTAATTGTTTCATAGACAGCTGTGAAAGCAGTGCTGTATTTCCATTATGTTTCTGAAGTGAACATTTTGCCTTAGGATTTCAATATCATATCAGGTTCTTTAGATAAAAGTAAGAAAAGAAATTATGTTTAGATGTCAACTTCCTAGCATGAAAAGTGGGAGATCAGGATGTGTGGTCCTTTATCAACCAAAAGGACTGCTGCTGTTAGGCTGGGAGGGTCAGGTGATTATCAAAGCAGTGTACTGGGTGAAGAGTAAGCATACTTGGTTAGTGTTTTAGCAGTGGTTTAGAGAAGGTTTGAGCAAGTCTCTAACTTGCACCCTTTGCTTTTAGTGCTTGATGCCTGAGACTCTTACACCTCAGATTGAAGGAGTGAATGAGGAAGCTCTAAAAGAACGTATCCACCTCAGAAGGGTGAAGGATTCTGTGGACCTGTTTGATCAGCTCATACAAGCAGGTATGTGGTTACCTGTTAGATTCTGTGGTGGAGCTCTACTTAAACTGTGCCAAAGCCATTTTAGTAGCTGGCACAAGCTATGGAGACAATATCATGACTATGTTGCTGCCTTTCACAACTGGCCCTGGTCTGGTGAAGTGGTTCTCCAGAATTATTGGGCCCTCCTTACCCACTGCTTGTTTGACATGTCACTTTGGTGATACAGAAAACAAGCTGTTTCCTGATCAAGAAGCAGATGATATGGGGTTGAGTTTTTTTTCTTCTCTTCCAAAGTGGAACAACTTGTGATACAGTTGGGGGTTGGACTAGATGACCTCTAGGGGTCCCTTCCAACCCAAAACATTCTATGATTCTATGATACAGTAGAGAAGGGCCTGTTACAGGCAGATGCTATGTGATTGAGTGATACCATTCTGCCTGCGAAGGGCCAACATATTGTTTGGTATAAGCTACGTCTGTGCTGAGTGCTTCACTGCTCTGTTGGACTGGTGTAGCACCATCTGAGTGCTCTTTTTCTGGACCTGCCCTCAATAAATGAGTCTTTCTCAGTTCCTCCTCAGCTTGGACCTTATCTGTCTCATGAGGTTTATCCTAGGAGTAGTTAGGAGAAGCACTAGAAATTTTGGATGATGTGTTGTGCCACTTCACAGTTTTGCCACTGCCAGCTGCCACTTCCCTCTCGCATTTTATCAGGAAAACTACCCTTTCAGTGACTTCACTAGAAAAACAGATACTCTAGTTCAGTGTTAAGATTGTCTCCATCTATGAATAGGTTCAGAAGTATTCATGTCACACCCAGGTTTTACAGACTTGCTAGAGAATGCCTTTAAGTCAAAAGAGAACTGTGTGTAACTGGGTGTTTGAAGGTTTTCTGTTAGGCTGTCAAATGGTGCATGCTTTACTTTCTCTGCGACTGTTGTACATCCTCATTTTCCATAGGTACCCCTGTATCTCTGGAGACCACAAACAGCCTTTTAGATTTGTTATGCTTCTATGGAGATGATGAATCTACTCCACAAAAAGAGGAAGAAGAGAAGGAGGATTTGGAAGAAACAGAGGTATGAAAAACTTGTTGATCTCTATTTCTTTCTTTCTGTCATACATAGTGGGAGTGTATCAAGGTGATGTCAAGATTTTTGTGCTGTGACTGCCTGCCTGGGAGATAGTGCAAGGTAGGTCAGACGCAGTCAACTTCTGCTAGAGAAGCAGTTACAACAATCCTGTGTCTAACCTACTAGCAAAAGTAGTTTCCACAAAGCTGAACTTAGCAGCTGGAACCCTGTCTTGGCTTGGTTCTGTTGAACTGCAATTAAATAACTTGTTTGCACTGACGGCCTTGTTTCTATAGTTGCCTGCAAGGAAGAACTCTGGTACCTATGGTGTGAAATAATTTTCTTCCAGTCTGAACCATAATAACTAGATTTCAGTGAAGTTGAGGGCTCCTCGTGTGACCTCAGAGTATCAAGGTACAGGAGGAGATGTATTGCACAATACCTGTCCCTGGGAAGACTGTTGAGGGAGAAAGATTTTTACAGAGTATGTGCTATAGTCTAATAATTCCCACCAACTCCACAAATACATAAAATTTGTCTTGTTAATATGCTTAATAACATAAACAGTAGTCCCAATCTAATTATTGCTTCCTGAACATTATAATAGAAATTATTTTAATGTAACCCATTAAACCCCAGCTCTGATAGCAAATAAATTGCTGATGAACTTCTGTGGTGTTACCAAATCACATCATTTGATATTTAATCATAACTTTGAACTCTGAGAAAGTTTTCTGCAAAAATCTCTCCAGGTGAATGCTTCAGAGCAGCAAAAGGCTCCAAAGAGACAATTGCAAAGAGGTTCACAGTCATCTGGCTCTAGATGGAGGTACAGAAAATGTTGCCAGTATTCCTGTATTCATTGGGTTGTGCACATGCATTGTTGTTATAAAACACTTAAAGACATTTTAGCAGCCAATACTTGCAGTTACTTGTTAAAAACGCCTGTGTTTGCTAATCTTCTAAAGCATTGATGGAAATCTAGTAATTAATTGTAGAATAGCTCAGTGTCACAAGTAATATATTTGAATGGTCAGCCCTTGTGAGTACAGCCCATTATTTTGTTCTGCATATTGAATCCTTTTCCTAAAGGTATCATTTATTTAGTTCTTTAACATTCAGCTTGTTCCTTGATTCTAGGGACGACAACAATGCTGAAAGGATATTTAAGATAATGCCAGAGAGGAATGCACACTCCTATTGCACAATGATCCGTGGGATGGTGAAGGTAAGGTTATCCTTCAGTGCTGGGAGTACTTCTAGCTTGTGAAATCTCACAGAGTCATAGAGTTTGTTTATTTTTGTTGGGTTTTTTTGGTTTTTTGCAGCATGGGGCTTCTGCTAAAGCTTATGACATGTACATAGACTTGCTGAATGAAAGACACAAGGGTAAGTGTCTCCTGGTTTTGACTTGTGGTCTTTTAAGTAGAAGCAACTGGTAGTTGGGTACATGAATACTTGTTTCATGGCTGTGATGATTGGCGCAGGGGTACGGACCTCAGCTAGATCATGGGAGCTGAATGCAAACTGTTTATTTCAGTGCAGCTGGCATGTGGCTGGCTCACTGGAAACAGGTTTGCATGAGACACTGCCAAAAGCTGAGCCATGTTAGAACAAACTGTTTTCTGTAGAATATAGTTCTATGATTCTATGATAATTGTCAGTTAAAATGAGTTATCTTGCATTTTCCAGCTGACGTACACACCTTCAATGCACTGATTACAGCAGTCCCATACCTGAAGGAGAGGTTCTTGGAAAGATGGGAATTAGCCAAGGTAAGAAGGTAGAGCAAATGAGGTGGGGAAGGGTTAAGAGTGTAGGGCCTGGGTTTGCTTTATCAGTAGAATTTGCAGTTTAAAAACAGGAGCTTTGTATGAAGATACTAATATGTGCTGCAAAGGAAGCACACTGGTTTCAACATACAAACTAACTGTTGAGCAGTGGAAAATGTACAAAATCCAACCTTGCCCTTGCAGAATGGTTTGCTTTGTGAGAACATACCTGATCCAAGAACTGCTCAGGCAGAAAGTAATTGGGAAATTATGCTGAGAGATAAAGACAAATAATTTTAGATAAAAACTCTCCTCTGAATTGTGATCCATGGTGGTGTGATGGCAATAGAATTTTGAGGGGTAATGTTAGAGGCTCCAGTTCTAATGACATCACATCAGTAAGGAAAATGAGCACATAAATTTAAAAATTTCCTTGAAGTTCTAGACACAATTCTCCAATATCTAATCTGATCTAATTTTGTAGTCTGGTTTTTTTTGGTCAAATTAATTACATGTTAGATGGTACTCCCTTAATAAATGATCAGTTGAAGTAGAGTCATTCACTTGAAAGGGGTGAGAAAGATTAGATTGAGGAAATGCATGTATACCTACCTGAAAGCTGAACTGGGATCCATAACGTGTGAAGCACTAAGGATTTGGGGGTTTTGTTTAAGGTCTTCCTGAATCACATGGCTCAACAGGAAGTGCAACCAAACCTGCTAACTTTTAATGCTTTACTGAAGACTCTGAGAAGATGTGGTGGTGTAGGCAGAAGTATGTCTTTATCGGTACTAAAGGAAATGGAAGCACTTGATATAGGTAAGAGAACCAGCATGGTTATTATATTCTAGTGCCACCTCCAGAATAGTGATTCCAAGTTGCAGGGAAGAAGTCTGAGGCTTGTGGAAAAAAGCATTTCTCCCTGTGTTCTCAACTTCACTATTTGTTTCCTTTTGCAAGAGAACTGAGAAATAAAAATGCATAAATACTGAGCTGTGGCCACTCAGCAAGCCAGTGTCTGTGGATTTCAAATGGAATCATCATCTTCAGACTCCTTGTTCAGTGTTGATTACAGTATAGCAGGTGTACTTTGCCCCTTCCGTCAAATAATGAAGCATTTTGATGCTGTAGTCCTTTGAATCATCATCTTCAGACTCTTTGTTCAGTGTTGATTACTAACTACAGTATAGCAGGTGTACTTTGCTCCTTCCATCAAATAATGAAGCATTTTGATGCTGTAGTCCTTTAAGTTGGGAGCATTTTTGTCATTAATTTTTACCTGTAGTTACCTCTAGCTACTCAGGGACAGGTGTATGTATGCAGTGGGGGAGTGTGTCCTGGCCCATGGGCTCTTTCTCAGCTGGGTCCTTATTTTAGGACTGCTGTAGAAATAGTGAATAATACGAATATATATTTGCAGCACTCAGCTGAGTCTGTTAGCTTCCCATAGATCAAGGAGATTTACTTCGTAAGCCACCCAAGTCAGTTCAGGTCTATATATCTATGTCTCTACAGAAAAAAAGCTTTTGATCTAGATGATGGGTTTTGATGTCAGGTAAACATTGCAAAAACGGGGAATGTTGGCGTAGCTGATTAGATGCCTTGTAGCGTGTGCTTTGCCCTAGTAACATGCTTGCAGGTACACTGAAGATAGGTTCAGGAGCAGAATGAAAAACTGGTTATGAAATATTTTTGCTTTTAATTTAGATCAGGGAAGCTTGGCTGTTTGCCCCATAGCAATACAGTGCTTCAGCTGGTGGTCCACCCTCAGATACAGTCTTTCCCGGTTGTACATGAGGTTTGGCCCAGCATTAGGGTGGATGGGGAGAGAAATGACGGACTAAATTATGCATGCTACCTGACTGGAAGGGCTGGGGACTGTGATTCAGAGCTCGGGCATAAAGCTTAGCCAAGAACGTCAAAGTAACTTCAATGTTTTTGCTTTTCAGAGCCTAGCCTTGCAACGTATGATCATCTTCTCTTTACATTTTATAGAGGCGGTACGTGCAATATCAACTTGTCCATGAATGTGTCCTGTTTAACACTTGCTTTAAATGCATTCCAAATGTGATGGGTCAAGGCAGTTGATTTATGGATTAAAAGACAGCTCCTTATTTGTGCAATCCTAATGTTACCTGTGTGCAGTCTGATTCTACTTGGGTGAAGAAAAAGCTACGAAGGATCACAACCTCTTACAGGAAGGGAAGAGTCCTTGTGTTTTGAGAGAACTGGAAAGAAATCCTGTTCCCTTTCCATTTGTGGCCACAGGTTGATAAAGCTAAAGAGCAAATGCTACTCAGTCTCTGTGGAGGCTGGATCTGACTACAATGCATGTGATTTCATAGGCTGTGCCACTCGTAGGGAAGAAATTGCACAGCGTTCTGTTTTTCTGCAATATCTCTGTGCATTGGAGCTGTCTGAAAATAGAGCTGTGTTAAAAGGCAGGAGCCCAACTGTTGCAGATCCTTTAGCCAAAAATCTGTGGGAACGGGAAGAGATTAGACACAGTAGTCATAACTGCAGTCCTTGTGTTACAACAACTGTGGAGGAACTGCTCTGGAGTCTCCCTGGGTTATTTTTTGTTTATGAAACACATTCCTTTTCCCAGTGCCACATTCTAACAGACAAAATTTGCAGGCCTGTTGGATTCCTTGCTAGAAAGTACCTGGATCTTTCTTAATCTGCCCTGTTGTGCTGTGGAAATCTGGCAATAGTAGGGCAAATGTTAGTGCAAATAAAATTGCAGCTGGTATGGAGCACCACGAGTAAGGGTACAGATAGGAGAGACATAGATAGCACTTGCTTGAAATCATGGTGCTTGTTTCCATTTCCATATTTGCAGGCTGAAGCTTTTTACTAATGAAGTACAACTGAGATGTGTTGTTGCTTGTCTGTTTGTCCTGTAGTTGGTCTTTCCTCGTCAGGCATCATCTCTGAGGTGCTAGATGATGTTGAAAGGAGGAGCTTCACTCCACAGGACCCTGATGACGGTATGGGCTTCAATATATCTGACAATCTGCGTTATTTAAGCTTCGGTGAAAAGGTACCTAGGGAATTTTAAGTAGTTCTACCCAGCTAGAAAGAATGCATGCAGCTTGCTCCTATCAGTCCCTTCTGATACTTCTTGGAGACAAAGAAGCTTTGACAAATTGCAGTGCCAGGAAGGCGTGCTATGCATTGGTGTACTGGCTTCCCACGCGAATGAGCGTTTGAGTCCCACACCATAAAAAACACAAGGCTGTTTACAAGACCAGTTCAAGGAGGACCATCTGCTAGCAGCTTCATGAAATGACAGGCGTCTGGTGAACCGCAGGTTTTTGTTGTATGATTTGATCCTATTCTAATTCTTAATCCGTTTCAGAAAAATGCATGAAATAAAACTCTATGCAAAGCTGAAGCTTGGATCTGTAGAAGGGGTAAATTCTAAACATCCCATGTCTCACTGGCTGTTTCTGCCATCTGTATGTAGGCAGCTTTGCCCTAGGATGTTCATAAGCCTTTCTGTACATTTGGAAGTAGGTGCAGCTTCAGTCTGAAGACGAATGTGGCGAAGAGGGGTCTGTAGCTGTGGTGGTGTGTGTACAACATGGTGTTAGCAGCGTGTTGGAAGTCACTGTAGCAGCTCACAGTTGTATATATGATAGGGTGAAGAAGCTATTGCAGTGCGTGCTTCAGTAAACCAGTGAGGAGTTGATAGCGGTTTTGGCCACTTAAAGGACAAAGATTAGGAGACGTTATGTTGGAGTAGCATATTAGGTTATTTTACCAGCATTTTTTTTGTGTCCTTTGAGAGAAGTCTGGAAATAGTCAGAATGTTGTACACCTCTCTTGTTTGCCTCTGTCCCGCTGTGTGTTACACTATTTCTTGCTCTTGCTCTAAGTGGTTGCCAGAACTGTAGACAACGACTATACCCACTTTGCTCTTTCGGGCTCTTTATAGCATTACCACTGTCAGCAAAGGCAGGGATTATGAGCACGCAGATACAGGCCTTGCCTGCATCATGGGAGTTGAATGAGCTTTTCTACACAGTGCTTGAGAGAGAGAGGTTGCTCGTGTAAGACTTTGCCTAAGCAAGATGTGTATGGAAATATTTTCTGCTCTTTTTCAACATGGGATCCCTCTTGTGCTCTTTTGGTAATTGCTGTTGCAGAATTCAAGTTGACACTTTGAACAAAACTGAGGCTTGCTTTTCCTTAGTGTGGTGGTCTGTGTGAACTGACTCTTACCTTCAGAAGCCTCTGTGTACCCTGCAAGGCCTTTCCATGGCCCAGAGGATTCTGTAGGCTGTAGCTGAACTGTATATTAAACACCCAAATAACACAAAAATGTCTTTTCCAACTTAAAAGTATTTAGTTAAGTCGGGAAAGGGAAAGGGGGACATATTGTACCTAATGGTTTTAAGTAAATTGCCTTACAGTTCTTTACACCATTTTGCTACCCACAGCTAGCCATTGTTTCAGTCTCTGATAGCATCCAGTGCCCTTACGTTTTCCTTCAAAAAACCAAAAACACCTATGCAAAATTCCCACCACAAAAATTAAATGAGCTACTGAGCCAGGTAGTTTATGTCCTTCTTCCCACTGTGGCTTTCTTTGCCTCCTTCCAGCAGCAGTCTGTCTGCTGCTTTGAAATGTCAGTTACAGAAACCAGAATCAAAGCCTTACACAAGTGGAAGGAGACATTTTCAGGGGGCAATTGTATGTTCTTGGACAGCTCTGGCGCTTACTAAAGAGGTGGGTAACCTGCCTCAACACCTGTCTCTGTTGCGTGTGTTCTCTTCCATGGGAGTAAATAGAGAAGACGAGTGATGTGGCTGCCTGTTAGACAAATAAAGCTGTCTTGCAACAAACAAGAGGACGTCGTTTTTGCAAAACTGCCTAGAGTCAAACAGACCACCTGTTTCTGAAAGCACAGCAGTATGGTTGCCTCCAGAACAGTGGCTGGCAAAACTCATAACACGCCGCAGTCTCCACATACAAAGTGGAGATCCCTGCTACATTGTCAAACTGAGCTACAAATTCAGCTTTCTCATTGAATGGAACTCGTCTGTCCTCTGGGGGGCTGGGTTAATGAGCTGCCATGTGTCTTCTTGAAGGTTGGAAGCTAACAGACTCCGTTTTCTCCCTTTCAGCCAATTTTTTTGCCACTGCTATGCAAGTGGTAAGTACCTCTTCCCTACAATCAGAATTCCTTTGAGCCCTCCAGCTGTTTCAGAATCGCCTGTGAGTTTTCCAACCTGTCATACAAGGTTTAGCTCTCAATAACTTTCCCTTTTTCACCTGTGTTCACCACCTCTGGTAAATTTCCTCCATAATTCTGCAGTTCTTTGCTTGATACCTCCCAAACTGGTAACTTCCATGCCTGTGATACGTGCATCCCTTGCTAGAGATGGCTGCGTGAGCCCCTGTGTTCTGTGCCCTACCTCCTCTCCTAGTGACGCTGCAGCCACCAGACAGTCTCCGCACCAGAAGGTGTCAGTTCAGGCTGGAAAGCTCTTGCCCACCAGCAGAGTTGCACATTTGTCTCTCAACTAAACAAAATGTCTTGGCAGTCACTGCATCCCGTTAAAAATGTTTGCTGTCAGCTCATAACTCTTCATACCTTTGTGAAAGTGAGTCTCAGAGGGGTGTATTAAGTGTTACGTTTGATAGCTTTAAAATCTAACTGGTTTATTGCAGTGCTGTGATCTTAAGGATATCAAGCTTGCCTATCGGTTAAATAAGGCAATGGAGAAGGGAGACAACTGGAAATTCTTGGATGTGGATCGGTTAAATGCATACTGGTGAGTGAAGTGCCACTTACATTCAGCATCTTGTGTATTGTCAATTTGAATACAAACTAGGATTCGAATGTTGCACAGAAGGGTGCTTTGTTGAACACCAGGTGGCTATTGTACATGCAATTTGGGAATTAGGTCCCTCTTAAGAACAAGAATAACTTAGGATTTCTTTTCCATTTTTGGTCTTGCCCAAACTGAAATAAAGCATCTTGGAGCATCAGTTTAGCTTAATCCCCATCCAACAACTGTACCAACCAGTGTTATTTTCTACAATCCTGTTGTCCACTTAGGGTGCCAGCTTAGGAGGTGACAGCGGAACAGCGTACCAGTCAGCCCTAGCTCTCTGCGTGGTGTTGTAGAGAGAGGCTGCAGCGCAGCTGGTGTTAGACACCAAACTCCTGTGCAGTTCCGCCATTTGACACTGTCAACATGGCATCTGAAACATCTTTACCAATGTCATTAAGTGCTGCAGTGACTGAACGTAATTAAGTACTTGGAGCGTATTGATTTGAAGAAAAGCCTAATTAGATGTTGGAACTAGAGAGGCTCCAGTAAACTAATGAAAAATAAGTAACATGGAGATAAGATGCAGTTTCAGGAGTGGGATGATGCATATGGTTTTACCTTATTTAGCTTGTAAATAAACCAAGGGAAATAATGGAACTTAATTTCTTTGTGTAGAGACAGTTTTCCTATTTAGTATATTGTATCAAGGTCCCAGGCTTGTATAGCAAACTTGCACAAGTAACCAGGTTAATTTGGTTCACTTCTTAAAATGGTTCATAACCAGAGGTTGCATTTGAGAGAGATTTAGATACCTCAAACCTGGTGTCAGACAAGGAGATTGCTTTTTTTTTTCAAGATTTTAAAATGCAGTCGTCCATTTCTTACTAATTCTGCCAATTACATAGTGTTAGCATGAAGTTCTCTCATCAGAAATGCTACTGTTTTTTAATTGTATGGACTATTGCAGTCATATAGGGAAATTTCCCTGATCTGTAATACAGATCTGATCAGAACACTGTCATTTGCTGGTGCTTCTGTATGGTTTGGTTGATCTAATCATTACTGAATTAGAACGTTTTTCTCCTCCTGTAGGTCAAAATTCTTTTCATTGCTGTGTATGATGGAACAACTTGATGTTGTGTTGAAATGGTACAAAGAAACATCCACTTCGGTAAGTGCATATTAGGGTAAGCAAGCTTCAAGCTTTAGTATGGAGAAACGGAACGGTTACAGTTTACTGAAGTGATTTTCTTCCTTCATCAGCTCTTCTATCCAACTCCTAAAAATATATTGGACCTCCTTCAAGCACTGGATGCAGCCAACCACTTGGAAGTGATCCCTTCAGTCTGGGAAGGTTAGTGATAGCCACATGGCTACATAGGCAGTTTGTCTGATGAAAGTCAGGAGCAGTGAGAGGTGGGAGGCAGTTGGGCGACTTGCCAGTGCTCAGAATAGCCATGATAAGGCGCTTTGGTGTGAGGGATGTTACTCCTCAAGGCTGTTGTATCGGAGAAAGGCAGAACCAATAGCACAGACTATCGGAGAGGTGGCTGTGTCACAGTTAAATGTCAGCGTCTTGGAAAACAGAGCAGTACCTTAACCAATAGCCCAGGCTTAAGTCACTAAAATTATTTGCCTGTTCTTTGCCCCTTAGGAAGAGGAGACAAGAATGCAGGTACAGGCTTTAACACACACAATACCCTACTGTCACCTAACGCTGTGGGGACAGATGGGTTCTTTTAGGGATCCTTGGCAGAATGATGACTGCACTAAGTTGTAGTTACAACTAAAGCTTTATTTTCTTAACAGGATTTCATGATTAGCATAGCATAGACTTTATAATTAGAAGAGCACAGATTTCTATAGGCAGAACCAGTGTAGTACCATTTCATAAGTAGCATAGTACAGAGTTTTATAGCACCGCTTAGCTTATGGTTTCTGATCACCTGGACCCTCTGCAGATCAGGTCAAATCTTAATACTCAAATCATTATCTACCCTCGACAGGAGGTGGTACCAGTCACACTTACTAACTACTGCCTTTCTCTAAACAGATATGAAACAGCTGGGGTTTAACAGGAGGCAAGACCTGTTGGAAGAGCTCTTGTCTTTGATGAGCAGGGAGCAACACCCTGAAGAGGTAAGGAAGCTGGTGTGGTTTAACCTGGGCAAGCAGCTAAGCACCACACAGCCACTCACTCACTCCCCCCTGGTGGGATGGAGGAGAGAATCGGAAGGGTAAAAGTGAGAAAACTTGTGGGTTGAGATAAAGACAGTTTAATAGGGAAAGCAAAAGCAGTGCACACAAGCAAAGCAAACCAAGCAATGCATTCCCTACTTCCTGTGGGCAGGCAGGTGCTCAGCCTTCTTCAGGAAAGCAGGGCTCCATCACACGTAATGGTTACTTGGGAAAACAAACGCCATCACTCTGAACATTCCCCCCCTTCCTTCTTCTTCCCCCTCATTCATATACTGATCATGACATCAACTGGCCTGAAATAGCCCTTTGGCCAGCTGGGGTCAGCTGTCCTGGCTGTGCCCCCTCCCAGCTGCTTCTCCCCCCCAGCCTTCTCGCTGCCAGGGAATCTGAGGAGCAAAAAAAAATGCCTTGATCCTGTGTAAGTGCTGCTCAGCAATAACTAAAACATCCCTGTGTTATCAACATTGTTTTTATCACATATCCAAAATATAGCACCATACAAGCTGCTGTGAAGAAATTTAACTCTGTCCTAGCCAAAACCACTACAGAAGCTCAGTGAACAGAGATGTCTCTCCATTTCTGTGCGCAGCATACAGACTGTATTGAAGTGCTGTGTTATTGTCCCTGGTCAGTCTTAGAGGTCCAGTTCCAGTGCGTAGCCATTACAAATTTCCAGATCCGTGTGAGCTTACCTAGGCCTGCTAAGCCCTTTGGATTGTCTTCAACATACAGAGAAACCTCAACTTAACACAGAAAAGGATGACTTCCTTACCAGTTTGGAAGAGTAATCCAGCTCACCCAGCCACATCTCTGGGGAGGCACATGGCAGAATTCAGGGATTTTTGCCAAATAATTGCAGTAACTGACTTGTCAACCTGTGGAGGGTTAAAGGCTCATGTTGTCCCTGCAAGGCTGTCTTGGAGCTTGCCTCGTGGGGACAATTGTCCTGAGAGATTTTTCTGCCAGGAGTAACCACTGTTAATTCACAAATGTAAATCTCATCCAGGGCAGACCTGTAGGATAAAAGAAGGATAGATGAAGTGCTTAGGGACAGGATTTAGTGGTGGGATGGCAGGGTTAGGTTAAAGGTTGGACTCGATGATCTCAAAGGTCTTTTCCAACCAAAGTGATTCTGTGATTGTATGATTCTATGATCTGTAGGAGGAATTGCACTGCAAAGGATATGTTAATTCTAGAGGTTTGGGAATTAATGGCACAATCTTTTCACAGATTCAGCTGGCATTTGCCAAGTGTGCTGAAGACATCCAAGCTGTCCATGAGCAAAGCGGGTGGGAGCAGGCCCCATTACAATGGACAGGCAGCGCACTGGGCCATGTCGCTCTGTTGTTTTCCAGGGCTGGGAGAACCCAGGACGCTTGGTACGTGTGTGGCTGCCATGAGCTCTTGGCTTGCTGACCGTGTAACTCAAAGGCTTAATCACAGAAATCAAAAGCTAACAACTGATTGCCTTGGAATGCTAGTGCAAAGGGAGGGGATGAGTCCTGCTGGGAATGTGATGGGATCTTTTCTTAATTTTATTTTTTATTCTTGGCACCAAGTTCCAGTTGCCTGTCTTAAAAATGGCTTAGAAGTTAATGTAGCATCTGGCTTAGAGATCACCCAGCTGCTTATGGCAAGGTGGGGTTTGATTATCACCTCGCTAAGCACTGCTGATATCCTACAGCTTCCCGTTCCCTAATTTTTAGAACTCGTTGGAATTCAAACTGCTGAAGACATTAGTTAGTTTATTTAAACTTTTAATTAGAAGTATCCCTAATTAAAACTCTATAGAGAGAGTATTTTTAGAACTCTCCAGAAGCTAGAATTTACTGTCCTACACGCTCTCAGCTTGAAATAGTGGTTAAAATACCTAGCCTCCAGTTTAAGGTTCTGAGCTATTTTCCGGGAAATAGAGATGCTCTCTTCGCACTGATTCATTTGAAACAAAGAAGTGGCAAGTACCCTTCTAAAAATATGTAATTCTTTAAAGGAAACTTGCCACCAGTTACACTTTTTATTTTTTCTGCACTAGTTAAGATATTCTGTGTTAAACTGATCAGTGATGTTAGCTGGTACACATTGCGTCTGCGAGAATACGGCATGAGATCTGTTTCAGATCTGCGGGGAAGATCGCTTTATGGAATTGAGCTTGCCCGTGTTTCAGCAGGGGCTTATCCAAGAGATTTAATATCTGTTCCTGTGGTTTGTGGTGGGGTTTTTTAATTACCCTTTTTGTTTTCTTTTGAACAGGAATATGATGGAGCGTTTCCAGCAAATCAATAGGATTCCCACGTGAGTACTTTTAGGTTCTGACTTCAGGTACTGAGTTTCCCCTTTGGCTGGGATTTTGCATTTCTGTTACAAGGGACAATGGTGGTCTGTATCTTATGGCTACTGTGAGGCATGAGTGTGTGTGTCTGTCCCTGCGAGCACGGGTGTTTTTTTATCCAGCTGATATGTTCCAAGATCAAGAATATGTCTCAAAAAATGTTGAAAATGCAAAGGGGGGGGGGTTGAAGTCATTGATCCTCGAGATGTCATTGAATGAAGCTCTGGAACACGGAGAACAGTGCCACCGATGAACTTGGCATTACGAATCAGTCTAAGCGGGATTCTTGAGAACATCTCATTTTCGTGTGCTCAACAAAATTCTAACATGCTGTTAGCCAAGCATAGGTGCTTCAGAGGTGTCTGGATTTCTGAAGCCAAGTTTATCAAGTCAAATCCTATATCTTATGTGGTACCCTGTTAGGCTGCAACAGGGCTTTTCCCAGGATTTTGGAGTGAAGTAGAAAACAACATCTAAGGAATAGTGATGCATTAAAAAAACCCAAACAACTGCCTGGTGCTTACGGAAATGAACACCTTAGATCTGATGTTGGAGATGGGAATTTCACCGAGACGCATGGTGTTCTCTGAGGCTGCCTGCACCGGTGGGGCTGTGCAGTTACCGTAGGCAGCTGTAAGCGGCGTGCTCTGCTCACCCTGGTCTGCAGGCTGGTGTGGCCCAGGGAAGCCTTGACGCTGTCAAGCCACGTCAGAGCCCCTGTCTCAATTTGGGGAATGGAGAAAGGAATTCTGAAATCGTGGTGTAGCTGACTGTTTGTGGATGCCATGGGTTATGAATGTGAAGAGAAAGTCATTTCCCTGCTGTTAGCAAATGGAGCAGAGGCTCCTCTGGTTGAACTGTCCCCTCCCTTCCCTTCTCTGCCAAGCTCCCTGCGGCACCAGCTGCAAACACTTCCTTGTTTCCCTGCCTGAAGGCAAGAGAGGTGTCTCCAGCAGCTGTCGCAGGTGACGAAGGAGCAGAGCCAACACTTCGACATGAAATGGAGCTGGCAGAGCTGAGCCAGCTGTCAGCGGCTCCCAGTGCCCACAGACAGCATGGCAGCCTCTGCCTTTGGTTTAAAGTGCTGTTACACCGTTCCTTTACCTCTGCCAGCCACATAAAAGAGGGTGAGGGCCTGATGTGGGGATTGTAATGAGGGGAAGGTTATTTAGACTGCTGCTGAAGTGGGGTCCTTATCCTGAGCAGTGAGCTCTCTGTTTTTGTGGAAGGAGAAGTACTGCTTTCTGCTAGGATAGCATTCCCAAGCGCACCACGTCGGTACGGAGTGAAGGCTGCGGAGGAATTTCTGTCAGGAGCAGAATTGGGCTGGTTGAGCAACCTGACAATCTGTCACCTCCTCTCCCTCTCTAAAGCACCTGCTGTAAGTTAATGGCCACCTCACCTGAGGCCCCTGAACAGTCACCCTTTGCCTTTGCTTTTGCAGTGACCAGGTGATGGATGAGTTCTTGAACTGTGCTAAACAAACCAATTCCCCAGATGAGGCAATTAAGCTGGTAAAGCTGGCAGTGTCCCTCGGTCTTCCTTCATCTCAAAGGCTTAAAAGCAGAACGGAGAAGGAATTTGAACTCTCCGAAAAGCAGAAGTAAGTTGGAGTACTTCACGTTACTGCTGAAGGGGTATAGTAGACAGGGTGTTGGAGGGGTAATTCCTGCAGAAAGGCTTCTCCACCAGGGTGGCAGAGATCTGGCTTCAGAGTGGTGTGCATTTGTGCTGACTCTGGTCAATTCACACCCCCAAAAGGGCCCCTCACTTTCTGATCCCATGGTGTATCCATCCCCCCTACAAGGGCAGGTATCTTTCCGTGATGGGGTTAGCGTTATCCACCGCTTAGATCTGCTGTCACCTTTCTTTCCCAGAATCCTTTCCTAGCTGGGTCTGGTCACCTAAAAGACACTGATTGCAGCCTAGTAAAAGCAGGGAAGCAGTACAGGATGGTCCTGCACGTGGTTCGCAGGTTCTGTGGCTCATGGTCCCTCTTCAGTACGTCTCACTAGCCACCGTGGTTCGTTGCTGAGCTGATGCAGTCAAGCTCAGATGATGGGCTTAGCCTTGAGGACCACAGTTTGGAGCCAGTGGTCTGGTCTAAGGAAGGGAATGAATAAATAAAAGTCCAGCACCCTTGACAGTTGGGCCCACGACTTTTGGCTAACTGAAGTAGTCTGCTTTTCCAAAAGGAGGTGGGTGTGCTTCCACCAAATGCTGGGTGGACCTGTCCTTGGAGGGTAACAAGACATCAGCCAGCCCATAATGTTCTCTTTGGAGGGGGTTTACCCCGCGATTTGGGTATCTCTTTACAAAGTCACAACAGATGACTGATGACTGTTTGACATCTGCAGGAAGACACTGGAGAGTATCCAGTCAGACAGCGACAGCAGCGATAGCGACAGCGACAGCGACAGTGACCGTGAGTAGCTGGCCCTCTTGACTTCCTCTGGGAAAACCGCGAGCAAGCGCTGCCTTGACGCAGGAGGCTGCTGTGAGAAGGGAAGTTACTGAAGGGACAGTGCCTGGGAGCTGCTGCAGCGCTGCTGAGCGCTCCAGAGCATTCCGGTACGGGACCTGCTTGGCAAGAGCATGCTGCCCTCCTTGGAGCAAGCTCAAAGCTGTCCTGGTTAACGTCCTTGGTAACTTCAAACACAGCGTGGGCTACTCCAACACCCTCCCTCCCACACCACTACCTGCACCAGCTCGCTCCTGCCAGGCAGCCAGGGCTTGCTTGAGCAGCTCGGCTGAGGGCCTGGCGGGCTGCGGGGAGGAGTGCGGCTTCCTGGAGGCTGCTCAGCAGGCACAAGACTTGGACAGCTTGAGCAAGACTTCTCTTGGACCTTCTACAACATAAACCTGTGCCGGATTTAATTCCTTTCCAGCTAACTTTAATGAACTACTTAAATATGAAGCTTAATCTGTATGTAAACACTGTAAGTAATGCAATACTCATCACCTGTGGTGTTATTCCTCATCGGTTTTGGTGTTTGGGGATGGGTTTTGGACTTTACATGTTAAAAAGCTACACTATGTACAGCTGGAGACTGCATCTAATAAACAGCTGACATCTAGCGCGGCTGTATCCTGATAATCCCTGCGCAAAACCTGTTGATTACAAAGTGCCCCCACTGCTCTGGGGGGGAAATAAGCAAGGTTCATGCAGAATACAGCGATAAAGCTCGTGGGGTGACTGGGAAGCCGTGATGGTGCTGTTCCCTTCTCTGCGTGGCAGGTAATGCCCTCGCAGCAGCCTCGTGCTGTTCTCACCTTGTAGAGGAAGCTTGAAGAGGTTTTTGAGGTAGTTATTTTGAACAGGCAAAGAAGGTCTTGTTCCTGTGAGGATTAATCTGTATTCTAGCGAAAGCAGAGAGTTCTCTTTGTGAAGAATGAAACCTTGAAGTGCATGATGCTACGGGGTAAGAGCCCGCTGCTGTGGAAAGCAGCTTAAGGGTAAATCAGTAATGAATTTGGGAAACCACAGCTGCTGCAGGTAGAACAAACTCCACCTGAAGGGCTGCAGTCAAGTGTTCCTGGCACTGCAGGAGTGGAGGGGCAGCAAAGCTGTTGGCAGGCAGTGTTTGCTCCAGAAAGCAAACGCCTGTTCAAGGAAGGTGTGACCAGTACAGGGAAAGATCAAAGCCGAAGGGCTGGGAGGCGGCGATACACTCCACTCTGTTGTACCGACAATTTAAAACTGGATCAGCGAGGAGACCAAGCTCCAGTTACTCATTTCAGCAAGTGGGTGCCAAGTAACTTAGATCAATCTGTCTTCAGCAATGGCAAGAGTCCAGGGAAAGGTAAGAGAAGGAAGGAGCTTGGTCTGTATGGGAGTTCTGGGGGTTGAACCAAAATCTGGCTTCTAGATAGAAATAGTTGGGTCTGCTAAAACTACAGCTGAGCAGGTCTGACAGGAAGAAGCCCGCAGGGGTAGAAGGCCACCAGAACACGTGCTCTGACACCAGTTATGTCTACTTAAACCTGCACTGAAACTACATGAATTTTTTTTTTTTACAGCTTGTACAAATGAATGATTAGACACATTGAATCCTTGCTCCTTGAAAGGAGTAAAAAAAAAAAAAAAAAAAAGTTTTGTCTTCAGGTGCTGGAGAAAGGCTGTTCTCGTACTGCCCCACTGGAGTTGATGTTTAAACAGGAGACTGAACAGCAGGAGAAAGTGGTTGAAGGCCTGTTTTATTCAGCTGACAGTGTAGCAAATCAGTAATGGTAGGTTACAAACATCATTTTGGTGGGATCACAAGCCTGCTTGGTAAGACAGGGAAACAAAATTCTTACACAAATTGTAGAGAAGCTTCCTGAAGTTGGTCATCATGATAACTCAAAACCAATACGAATACAACGGGTGGCGAAGTTAAATACAGTGCAAGGAAACGAGACGGTACCCGTGCTTTGATTTAACGCTTCCAGCCCCTGCCCGCAGCTTGGTTTGCAACCCTTGGGAGATCATGGGGTTTCTTTCCGGCACAAACGATTGCTGAACTGCCCCCGAAACTACGCTCCTAGCTCACTGCACTTGAGTTGTTCCTAACCCCACAGCACTGGCATAGGCTGTCAAGATATCCACAATTTGTTTTGTTTCCAGGGTCATTCGTGCTTCGGTCAGCCAGTCGTGTGCCACTCTCCTCGACTCTCCTCTTAGCTGGTTGACAAATTTAGCTGCCAGCTCCAGATCTCCGTGTTCAATGCAATAGGAAGCGTAAGACAGTAATTTGAACGTGTCGAGGTCGTCGGCGCTGAGCTCAGCGGGTGGCTTCAGCTGCTGAGGGTGAAACACAAGCAGCGACTGCAGGTAAGACAGGAAGTATTGATACAAGCTGTTTCTGGTTTCATCGATCATAGCCACTCTTTTGGCCAGTTTTTGGACTGTGTGGAAACGTGCTCTGAGGGCCTCTTCGCTGTACACTCCCCGTGTCAGGGACTCCGGGGGGAGAGCCGCCGTTAAGGCTTCTGTAAACGCATTGTCAGAGCAACTGGCTTTGATGGCCTTCACCGCGCTCTCCAGGGGTTCCGTGGGACTATCCCCAGAGGCTGTTTTCATGCAGTATTTGAGTGCTTCAACAGAAAGCCAGAGCTGATGGGCCTTTCTTGCTTCCTCTTCTGCTACTGCGTGACCTGCAAAATAAGCCGAGAAAGGGACTCTCAGTTGGGGGCACAGGTAGGGGAAAAGTTTTGAACATAAGCAGCCCACCCTGCTTTCCAAAGCAGCTGCCCCCCCAGCATTTGACCTCAGAGCGAGTCTGTGCCGCAATTTAGGGTCTGAACAAGATGCCAGCTCTGGGCTCATGCAGCTGGGATGCACTGGGTGCTCAGCAGCGTGGCAAACCCAGGCCCATGAGCTACATCCCGAAGCCTGGGTTTAGGCACCCGGGTTTGGGTAACAGGCCTTTGGGGATCAAGACTTCAGTCCTTAAAGAAATGAGATGTCAGTGCTCACTCTCAACTGCTTGTTCAATCCCTTTCAGCCTGGCGTAGGCAGTGTTTATATCCAGCGTGAAGTTGTCAAGCTGTTCCTGAGTAAGGCGTCTGAATTGCATTTCTTGTTCGCGGAGTTTCTCTGATAAGTTCTGAAACGGAGCGGGATACATGTATCATGATTAAACAGCTCTTTCGAGTCTATTTACCTTATTTTTAAGATACGCTTCTATAAATCTCTTCTTGCTAGGGACAATGTATATAGTAAATACAGTATACGGGGTAAGGAGTCTTACGAGGGTGAATTTCATGGTTACTGCACTTGTAACTGTCAGAAATCTCTCACCTACAGCAAAAGCTTTTAAGACAAGTCTGAATAAAACCTGTGCGTTCAGGCACTGGATATCATCCCTTCAGGATGAGCAGGCTCCCTCCCCAGCCTGCGTTTCAGTCTCCTGGGAGATGGTTCAGGACTCCCTTTGCAAAGCTTCAGCTATCCCCCTCATCCCCTCAGGGACTCTCCTCCCTCACCTGCTCAAATTCCACCTTCAGTTCCTGCTCCTGGATCTTAAGCACATCTCTCAGGTGGTCTGTGTGGGCAGCAGCCTGCCGCCGGAGCTGGGTCCTCATTTCGCTCTCCATCACCTCTCGGACTTCTTCAACCTGTACACAGACAAGTGGTTGTTACTACACCGCTGTTTTTCAAGGGCTTGTCACAAGCCCCGTGATTCCATCATCCATCAGTCATTACCTAGGGTACATTTTATAAAAGTGGCACCGACAGAGCCCTTGTTTCATCTTAAAAAGCTGCCGAGCTCCATTTTCGTAGCTGAGCCTTTTCCAAAAGCCATTAAAGAACAGCTTCACGGTCCGCAGTGCCTGTAACTGGTGGTTATACTCACCAGGTGCTTAGCACAGTTATCAAAATTTTACGTTAAAAAAATACAGTAGTATGTCAAATTAAACACTCCAGTACTGATAAACCAGCTTCCAAATAAAACACATTTTACCTTTTCCCTCCATGCTGTAAAACTGTCCCAGTTGGACGCTGTTTAATAAAACTGTCATACCCCTTTTACCTGACCTTGCCTAAACCAGGCGCTTCAGAGAGCACAGGTTAGCACAAGGGCGCATGGTGCAGGTTTATTGAGGAGGGGCTGAACAGTTTTTTGGTTTTGTTTATTTTTTTTTAAGAAGGACTGTGTCATTTCCAACCTTCCCAAATGCAAAGACGACAGTTCGAGCAACTTGTAAGAGAGCTCTAAGTTAATACCTGTCACTGCAGTGCATTGAACTAACAGACTACAGGTGAAATCCTTAATATCCCTCCAGTCAATGCAAATTTTTCAGCTAATGGCCAGTGTTTGATCTCATTTTCAGAGGCACACGTGTGAGAGCAGCGGGAGTACTTGGCAGAGGCGTCTGCCTGCAGTATGGCCTCTCAAACGATAAAACCTCCAGTGCCCAAATTCTTACGTTTGTAAGTTGCTCTTGCTTCATGGCCAAAGGTGCATTAAAATGCTGAAGCGTTTCAAAGTCTTTTTGAAAGAAATCAAATCCCGAATCACTGGCAAAGAGCAGAAGGACACGGAGATACCTCCTGGAGGCAGGATGGAGGGGCACAGCCATACTGGTGCAGATCAAACCTTTATTTTGACCCAGTAATCCCATCCCCAACAGCAGACAGGAATATGAGTCATTCCCTCTTCTGCTGTAGGATTTTACCGCTCTAATTTTGCAGAAGTTTCCTTGTTCAACATCTCCTTTCCACGCTTATCCTGGAGGTCGCCCTATCTGACATTTCCCATCACTCAGAACATCACAGCTGCTCTTCTCTACACCTCCTCTAGCTCTCCTACATCCTTTTTGAGCCAGAGATCCAAACGGGGGCCTAACGCCACTTTACCTTCTTCTCCTGTTCCATTTCAATCTCACTTTTGTGATGCTCCAGCGCTTTGGCCACGGCTGCCTCAAAAGCTTTTTTATCTTCCAGTTTCTGCTTCTCCAGGGCCGACTCGATGTGCTGCTGTTCCCTCACTCGCTGCTCCGCCAGCTCCTTGTTTAACTGGTCGATGCGACGATGCGCGTGTGCAATGAGAGAATTTAAGTCATCCATCGATAACTGGCCAGCTAAAGAAAAGGCAGGGCGTTAGGAAGGTCTGCGGGGAAACTGCCCCCGCGGTGCGTGCCCACCTCCCACTCCAGCACTCCAAGGCTCCACGTAGTTGACTGGCGAGCATGTTTTAGGAAAGGTTTCCAAGCGTTTCAAGCCCTTGACCTGGGCTAATGCCCACCCAACACCACCGAGCCACACCTACAAGCAAGTGCTTTCCATCTAGGAGAGAAATTATCTTAGTTTCTTCAAAGTGATTCACAGCTATTATTTACACTCCCATATCCACATCACACTCAATTAGAAGAGACTGTCAGCAACTCTGCCCCGTTCTTTCTTTCCACCACCACGTTATTTCTCCCTGCGACAGCACACACTGCAGCAGGATATGTAAAACCCCGGTGGCAACCGATGCCTCCAGCTGGGTACAAACTTACAGAAATTTGATCCTGAGAACACTGAAGCCCTTTTTCCCTCCAGTAAAACTGTCCCAGTTGGACGCTGTTTAATAAAACTGTCATACCCCTTTTACCTGACCTTGCCTAAACCAGGCGCTTCAGAGAGCACAGGTTAGCACAAGGGCGCATGGTGCAGGTTTATTGAGGAGGGGCTGAACAGTTTTTTGGTTTTGTTTATTTTTTTTTAAGAAGGATTGTGTCATTTCCAACCTTCCCAAATGCAAAGACGACAGTTCGAGCAACTTGTAAGAGAGCTCTAAGTTAATACCTGTCACTGCAGTGCATTGAACTAACAGACTACAGGTGAAATCCTTAATATCCCTCCAGTCAATGCAAATTTTTCAGCTAATGGCCAGTGTTTGATCTCATTTTCAGAGGCACACGTGTGAGAGCAGCGGGAGTACTTGGCAGAGGTGTCTGCCTGCAGTATGGCCTCTCAAACGATAAAACCTCCAGTGCCCAAATTCTTACGTTTGTAAGTTGCTCTTGCTTCATGGCCAAAGGTGCATTAAAATGCTGAAGCGTTTCAAAGTCTTTTTGAAAGAAATCAAATCCCGAATCACTGGCAAAGAGCAGAAGGACACGGAGATACCTCCTGGAGGCAGGATGGAGGGGCTCCACAGCCATACTGGGTCAGATCAAACCTTTATTTTGACCCAGTAATCCCATCCCCAACAGCAGACAGGAATGTGAGTCATTCCCTCTTCCGCTGTAGGATTTTACCGCTCTAATTTTGCGGAAGTTTCCTTGTTCAACATCTCCTTTCCACGCTTATCCTGGAGGTCGCCCTATCTGACATTTCCCATCACTCAGAACATCACAGCTGCTCTTCTCTACACCTCCTCTAGCTCTCCTACATCCTTTTTGAGCCAGAGATCCAAACGGGGGCCTAACGCCACTTTACCTTCTTCTCCTGTTCCATTTCAATCTCACTTTTGTGATGCTCCAGCGCTTTGGCCACGGCTGCCTCAAAAGCTTTT